GAAAACATGATGGAATGTTTTGCAGTCCAAACATTTGTTGATGGACTTCGTGACCACGAGATGCAAAAAACACTTCGTCTAGCCCGTCACAAAACATTGATCGATGTCTTGTCCGCTGCCCTTGAATATGAGGCAGCTACACAGGCCTCTGGTGGAAACAGTAAAGTAAGGACTATAAAAGAAGAAGAAGAGGAAGGTAAACTCGATCAACTGGTGAATATGATGAAGAGCCTTACTGACAGAAAGATAAAGACGAAGACTATCAGGTGCTGGAATTGTGGTGAACTAGGACATGTACGCAGTTCATGCAAACGTCTAAGGGTCACAACGAATCATGACAACACGCCGCAGGAAAACTAAAGCGGATCGGCCTAGAGGGGGCAGCTTCGACCCGAAACCGTTCCAAAGACCCTCTCATACTGATAGCCTCTTTGAAATGTCGCGATGATAGTGTATACGTAGACGGCGAAGTAAATGGTAAAAATTATACACTGTTGGTGGATACCGGAGCAACTAGGACTTTATTATACGACCAACAACTATAAATAACCGTAAGAAACTTCTACCAACAAGATTGCGACTGCGGACTGCCACAGGTGAAAGTGCCAACATCCATGGCGAAATCTAGGTTCAATTGGAAATTGGTACAGAAAAGTTCATTCATACTGTTATTGTCGCTGATATCGAAGAAGATGTTATTCTTGGAATGGATGTAATGAACTTACATGGTTTCCAGTTGGACTTTAAAAACAGAGTGATAAAAGTTGGTGCCGAAGAGGTATTCCTACATCCATATGGGGACAGTACTGTGCCAGTTGCTGTACAGGAGGATACGGTGGTACCTGGCAGAAGTGAAACCGTTATAGTAACACGGCTTCAAGAAACTATGGAAGGAGGAACACCTGTCATGATGGAACCTTGGAACCATGATGAAGAGGTTGGACGAGGCATTCTGATCGGAAAGGGGTTGGTCACGACTGCTAAAGAAATTCCAGTCCGTCTCATAAACGTTAATGATCACCCGATTACCATCAAAAAAGAGACCAGAATCGAAACTTGTGTACCAGTAACTTCCATAATTCGTCAGACAACTTCTGATAATTTCAACGACAAATTCGAGCAAATGATTGCAGTTGCTGGTCAATTTCTGAATCAATTAGAGAAGAAGAAAATAAAGAAATCAATCAATGCTTTGTCTCACACACAGATGATTTAAGAAAGTTTTTTTAATTTCCCAAACTTTTACTTTTGTGACTTATGGTGTTTCTCAAATGACCGATTCATTTATGAGTTACTCTGTATAAAATATGATATATCATCAAGAAGCAATTACTCAAACTATATTTTCATGGTACAATGATAATTGTTTTTAAAGCTGTCATAAATATTTTTTTTAACCATATTTCCGAATCACCCTCTAATTAACCAATTTCTACAGTACCTTTTTATAAAATATTAGTGCCAAATAATCTATAATCAGAGCTGTTTAAGATCATTTTAAAAACGATTTAAATCAAAGATCATAAATCGTTTGCATTTGAACAAATGATTTAAATCAAAGATCGATTTAAAAAAAAAAAAAAGATTTAAATCAAAAATCTTTTTTAGATTTAAATCTTTTTTACAATTTAAATCATTTTAGGAAAGATTTAAATCTTTTTGAAAGATTTAAATCATTTTGGGAAAGACTTAAATCTTTTTTTACAATTTAAATCATTTTAGGAAAGATTTAAATCTTTTCGAAAGATTTAAATCATTTTTAGGAAAGATTTAAATCTTTTCGAAAGATTTAAATCTTTTCAAAAGATTTAAATCTTTTTATAGATTTGGGTAACTCTATAAAAAATGCTTTCGGTATGCCAAAGATAGATAATGAATACTTTTCTCGTATTTATTTTTTATCGTTATTAGCCCAATGCAATTCTTACGGAAATATTAATTTTAAATAATAAATATCCGATCAAGATAAATTTTTTAAGGATTTATGCAGCATTGATATCTATAGTTATGAAAATTGTTATTTAAAAATGTCATGTTGATTGGTAAATAGGAATTTTTCAACCCTTTAAAAGATTCTTTTGGTAAGCCTATGATGCCACACAACAATGGAGACCTAGTTTTTAAGAAAAGTTATTTTTTTTTCTGAAAAATCTCTTAAATCCGTCAACTCTTCCTTGAGTTAACGTGCTTAATGTCATACATACATAAACACCCACAGATGCACATACATCAGACTCTTTAAAAATATGTTTTTTTGTACTTAGGAGACTCTCTCGGAAAAATGCATTTCATTTTCAAAATCTCCCGGCTATGAATAATGAAATTGAGTGGGTTGAATTAAAAGAGTTCTTCTCTTAACGTGAAGTTATTGCGAGTAAATAAATAGCCAAAGTAGGCGCGTTTGGGTTAATTGTTTTGATGAATGTGTGGATGAATCAGGCAAGGAAATAAAAAATTTAATTAATTCGCTCTTTCTATGCCAAGCATATTTATTGAACTGGTCAAAAAGTCATAATCGTCTTAATGCAACTAATGTCAAATCTGAAATAAAAGTGTGCATAAATTTAAAATACATATGTAAAGAGTTTCAGGATTATATCGATAATGAAAAAGTATTTCCAGCTGCTTGCGGTGTAAAAAATACAACTTTACAAAAAAAATATCTGGTCAAAAATATTGCAAAATTTCATACTTAAGAATAATCTTTAGACATTGCAATTATTTGTTACACTTTACTATTTTTTGTTTTTCTTTTCTCTTTTATTTCTGATTCAACCCTACTGACATGCTGGCTAGATTATTATTGAAAAGACAGGTTGATTTTGACGAATCAAGTGATGTAAATTGTTTTAAAAAGATTTAAATCTTTAAGAAAATTTAAATCATTTTAAAAAGATCGCATCATTTTACAGGTTTAAATTATTTCAGAAAGATTTAAATCAATAAAAAGATTTAAATCGTTTCAAAAAGATTTAAATCGTTTTAAAGATTTAAATCGTTTTAAAAAGATTTAAATCGTCTTAAAAAGATTTAAATCGTTTTAAAAAATTTAAATCGTTTTAAAAAGATTTAAATCGTTTTAAAAAGATTTAAATCGTTTTAAAAAGATTTTAATCGTTTTAAAAAGATTTAAATCGTTTTAAAAAGATTTAAATCGTTTTAAAAAGATTTAAATCGTTTTAAAAAGATTTAAATCTAATTTTTAAATTAAAAATCAAAGATACTTTTCAGAAAGATTTAAATCATAAATCAAAAATCATTTTTTTAAAAAAGATTTAAAATCAAAGTATTTAAATCAAAAAATGATTTAAATCTCACTGATAGGTGACAGCTCTGTCTATAATTCATGTTTTCTACCACAAAAGCGAATAAAACAGGTGTGTTACGAGAAATATACTCACAAAAAAGTGGCATTTCTCGAAAACTAGTCATAGAATCGGTTTAGTCCGATAGATACTTGTTGTCAGAGCATTGCACGGAAAAAAATGTGACTAGAAAATTTTACTACAATGTTGTAGTAGTAGACTTGTAGAAAAATACTTAACAATTTGTAGAAAATTTTACTACAATTTATAGTTAAAAACTATTAATTATTGTAGCAATTGAATTGTCGAATAAAATGCTACAACAATAGGAAAGAAGTCCACAATGTTAAGTATATTTTACTATTGTTTGTAGAAGTAGAAATTTATTACAATTATCGTAATTACTACTACTAACTTCTGTAAAAATTTGTACAAATATTAATAATTATCTCTACAAAAAATAGTAATTTTCTCTACAAAAAATAGTAATACTTTACATCCCTTCTTCAAAAATATTCTATAATATTGTAGAAATTCTAAGTCATGTGAACAAAACAGAATTCTGCTATTGGCCAACGTTTTCTGACGTCGATCATAAACGGCCAGACAGCAGTAGCCGTTCGCCATGTTCACATAACAAAGCATGGTACATATACGAGTACCTACAACACATTATTATATTATAAGCACCGATGCGTTTGAGAAAATTTTAATAATAAATTCTATTGGTGGTAAGTACATTTATTATTGTTTCTGAATAATTTACCTTTAGATAACTAATTTAAATAACCTTAGTAGATTATTTTAAAAAAATAGTTGTGGCCAACGATCGAATGTTGTGCCCAACGATCGAATTTTGTGCCAAGTTCAATGATGTTTTTTGTCTTAATTGTGACATACCTACTTTCTCATTTTTGTTAGTTATCTGACTTAGTCATTTAATATCCAAATCAGTGTAAAGGTGATAAATATCCCCGTTTTAAGGGTATGAACAATTCAATTGGTATTAATTTTTATTTCATATTTTTCAGGTGCAGAAAAGCCAACCGAGATTGAGGGCGCTATTATTACTGTTATTTATTACATAATGTAATTAAGAATTTGTATCTTTTATATTAAAACAATAAATTGAATATTTTATTAAGGAACATTTTTTTCTAGGTTATAATAATTATGGAATACTACTACAAATTTTATTAAAAATTACTACAATTTGTATGAATTTTTACTATTTATTGTGTAGAATTTTCGAATTTATTTTCATAAAACGCAATACATTTTTAATATAAATTCATAAAATGAATAGCAAAAATTATAAGAATTTGTAGAACAATTCTTATGATGCATCTGGATCTTTTTACTAAATATTGTAGATAATAACTCTACAATACATTCTCCACAAATATTTAGAAATTTTTACTACAAATTGTCCCTGTCCCTATATGTACTATGTATTGTAGAGAAAAAATCTACAATTGTAGAAATTTGTTCTACAATTTTTTTTCCGTGTGAGTTCTACAACATATCAACATTTCAGAAAATTGCTCAGGTACTGTGACTTGAGACTTTTATCCAAAGAAAAAGACCTTCATGTCATACCTAACTTAACGACGCGTCCGCGCCAAGAAGTCCATCAAATTTAACTGTCGTGTCACATATATCCGATTATGACTTTACCGACACCGCGACTTGACATCTGAACCTAAACCTACCACAATCGACAATCAAATCGCCGTCCTCTCGCGTGCTGCACGGACATTCTTCCTCAATATCTCGCCGTGTTGCGATACCACATCTCGGGGCGATAAAAAAGATCGCCTTGGGCGGCCCGAGAAGACCGAAAAAAGACCGGGTCTCGAATATTGTTTTTTTTTTCTTTCACTTTTTTAATTTCAATTTTGTGAGAAATGAAGCGAAGGAAATTTGTCGCTTTGGTAATTTGTATGTTTTGCGTGAACGAAATTGTGATAAATTATTGTTGTTGTGATGTCGTTTCGTCGTTTTCGCCACCGTCGTCGCAAGTTAGCAACTTCCAGAATGCTATACAGCAACAGGTGAATATAATTGTTTTAATCTCTTTTTTTGGTATTGCCTACTTTTACGAAATTATGATTTCTACAGCTTTAGGCGTTGTAAGCTGTAAATTATGTAAAATTTAATGTACCCTCAAAACATTCACTATATGTGCCACATGTAGCAATTATAGTCTCCAAAATAAAAAAAAAATGGTTAAAACAGATACAGGGTGTCCGGAAATTGCGGGTACATGGAGTTACCACAGATTCAAAGCTATTTCAAAAGATTAAACTTGGTACGAATACTAGTTGTTTAATGGCCAAATAAAAGCTGCGGGAACAATGTTTCTATTGCGCCCATAAACTTCTCATTTTCCCCTATTTTTTAATCTGTCACTTTTGACATTTCTTTCAATAATAAATTTGTATATGCGGCATACAGAACGCTGTCTGTGGAAACCTTTAGGTGTTAAACTTTCATTATTTCATTGAAAAGTTCAAATTCGTTTTTATTTTTTCGAAAAGGTTACAAAAGAGTAACTTTTTTGAGTAAAAACTTCCAATTTTAATGCCAGAAATGTCAAAAAGTGACAGTTAAAAACTAGAGGAAATGCCCGTTGCCCTCTTCCTAATGAGACGCTTATGATCGAAATAAAAAAATTGTTCCTATAGCTTTTAATTGACCATAAAACAACCTAGTATTCCTACCAAGTTTGATCTTTTAAAATAGGTGACTTCTGGAGAAGCAACTTGGTATATTGATAAATTGGGATAAATCGAGTTATTTTGAGCCCATAGATCTAGGTCTAGCACCGCCAAAAACGAATTTTCATAAAACAAAGTTGGCATTCTTTCGTTCAACGAAAATTTTCATTTGCCCACCCTTCCAAAAAAAGTTGGGATAAAATTAAAAATTTAAACCTTTTTAACATCAGCACAGTCATAAAAACCTTTTATTAATTTTATAGTAGCATTCGATTATAAAAATATTTATAAGTCGTCGTATCGCAAAGTTGGTTCGACTTTTTAAATTAGCTTATCCCTTTATTTTTGAGTTATTTAAAAAAAAGTAATTTGAAAAAGTTTGTTTCTTTTAAGTCGTTGTATACACAGTTAAAAACAAGTATCAACTTAGAAATCACCCTGTATAAGTACTAACAATTTATTAAAACTAACTACTGCAATCGTTTGTCCACACATTATTTTTATTTGTCCACCCAACAAAAATAATATATATTATCAAATACTGAACTCAAAATATAAACAATTATTAATGTAAGTACTTCTAATGGAAATTTATTAAAACTAACTACTGCACATTTTCAATTGTCCACTTAACAAAAATGAGTTATTATCAAATAAAGAACTCCAAATATGAATAATTATTAATATATACTACAATCGTTTGTCCATACGTTATTTCCGTTTGTCCAGGCCTTATTTTAATTTGTTCACCCAACGTAAATTAGTTATTAACTAATAAAGAACTCAAATTAGGAACAATTATTAATGTTAGTACTAATAGCAATTTATTAAAACTAACTACTGCAGTCGTTTATCCACACGTTATTTTCGTTCGTCCACCCAACGTAAATAGTTATTAACTAATAAAGAACTCAAATTATGAACAATTATTAATGTAAGTTCTCGTAATGGAACATTTATTAAAACTAACTACTGCAATCGTTTGTCCCCATATTATTTTCATTTGTCCACACAACAAAAATAATATATATTATTATGAACTGAACTCAAAATATAAACAATTATTTTTAATTTGTTCTCCCAACAAAAATTAGTTATTATCAAATACTGAACTCAAAATATAAACAATTATTAATGTAAGTACTTCTAATGGCAATTTATTAAAACTAACTACTGTAATCGTTGGTCCACACATTATTTTCATTTGTCCACCCAACAAAAATAAGTTATTATCAAATAAAGAACTCAAAATATGAACAATTAATATAAATTCTTCTAATAGTAATTTATTAAAACTAACTACTACAATCGTTTGTCCACACGTTATTTTCGTTTGTCCAGGCGTTATTTTAGTTTGTTCACTTAACGAAAATTAGTTAATAACTAATAAAGAACTCAAATTAGGAACAATTATTAATGAAAGCACTTCTAATGGCAATTTATTACAACTAACTACTGCAATCGTTTGTCCACACAATATTTTCATTTGTCCACCCAACAAAAATGAGTTATTATCAAATAAAGAACTCAAAATATGAACAATTATTAATATAAGTTCTTCTAGTAGAAACTTATTAGAACTAACTAATACAATCGTTTGTCCACACGTTATTTTCGCTTGTCCAGGCATTATTTTAGTTTGTTCACCCAACGGAAATTAGTTTTTAACAAATAAAGAACTCAAATTATGAAAAATTATTAATGTAAGCACCTACTTCTAATAATTTATTAAAACTAACTACTGTAATCGTTTGTTTATACGTTATTTTCATTTGTCCACCCAACAAAAATTAGTTATTATCAAATAAAGAACTCAAAATATGAACAATTACTAATACAAATTCTTCTAATAGTAATTTATTAAAACTAACTACTACAATCGTTTGTCCACACGTTATTTTCGTTTGTCCAGGCGTTATTTTAGTTTGTTCACTTAACGAAAATTAGTTAATAACTAATAAAGAACTCAAATTAGGAACAATTATTAATGAAAGTACTTCTAATGGCAATTTATTACAACTAACTACTGCAATCGTTTGTCCACACAATATTTTCATTTGTCCACCCAACAAAAATGAGTTATTATCAAATAAAGAACTCAAAATATGAACAATTATTAATATAAGTTCTTCTAGTAGAAACTTATTAGAACTAACTAATACAATCGTTTGTCCACACGTTATTTTCGCTTGTCCAGGCCTTATTTTAGTTTGTTCACCCAACGGAAATTAGTTATTAACAAATAAAGAACTCAAATTATGAAAAATTATTAATGTAAGCACCTACTTCTAATAATTTATTAAAACTAACTACTGTAATCGTTTGTTCATACATTATTTTCATTTGTTCACCCAACAAAAATTAGTTATTATCAAATAAAGAACTCAAAATATGAACAATTATTAATATAAGTTCTTCTAATAGTAATTTATTAAAACTAACTACTACAATCGTTTGTCCACACGTTAATTTCGTTTGTCCAGGCCTTATTTTAGTTTGTTCACCCAACGGAAATTAGTTAATAACTAATAAAGAACTCAAATTAGGAACAATTATTAATGTAAGTACTTCTAATAGCAATTTATTAAAACTAACTACTGCAATCGTTTGTCCACACATTATTTTCGTTTTTCTAAACATTCTTTTCATGTGTCCACCCAACGGAAATTAATTATTAACAAATAAAAAACTCAAAATATTAACAACTATTAATATAAGTACTTCAAATTACAATTTATTAAAACTAACTACTGTAATCGTTTGTCCACACATTATTTTAGTTTGTCCATACCTTATTTTTGTGAATATCTTGTATAGTTTTGTTTTTTTACTAATTTTATTTATAATATTTTTTTTAAACACTAGAAATATTTAACAAAAATAATAAGCTTTCTAAATGATGTTATTCAAAACAACAAACAAGTTTAATTAAATCTACACATGAATTACTGTAGCCAAAATTGTCTATATATTTTTTTGTAGTTTCATTTAAGTAGGTAAACAATATCTGCTGGTTCTAACCCTATTCCGTATCTACTATACATATTCTAAGAGAAATCTTATCTCAATGTAACAAAATTAAGTAAACGCATTTGGATTAGTACCGTAGTAAACATTTTTTAACAAGCCTAAACTATATCAATTATTTATTGATACTTAGAGATTGCCCATTTTTTTGAATCATCCATCAATACTATTTTTTGGTGGAGGAACTAGAGCCACTTTAAACAAATTTTCAGGAAAAGTCAATACCTTTTTTTCCTTCTTCGGATATGCTAATTCAGCTTAAGATACCTTTAAATGTAATGGCAGTTATAATACCCTAGATATTGTAAAAATTATAACAGTTTCAGATAAAGATAATATACAGGTATGTGCTAAATAACTATACAGAATGTCTCATTAGTGCATAATTGCTCGGTATTTTAATTTGTGTCATACAGGGTGTTGGTTAGGTAGAGTACTGAAAAATAAGTGGGGATAGAATAGTAAAAATTGTCGTAACAGCATCCGTATTCGAGATACAGGGTGTTGCAATTTCAAGACTTTTGTTTTTCTTTATAGCTCCTATCATTTTTGAGATATTTAGCTCAAATTTGAAATCTCGGTTACGCTGTAGGGCTTACATCATTGAGCATGTCAAATGTTTGTGTGATTTTACAGGGTGATATTTTTTCCTGGGTCATACAGCCTTTTATTTCCCGTGACATTTTTTACGGTGGTGCGTGGCTGGTAGAATATAAAATACAATAGCAATTTGTGCAACAAGAGTGGATTTGGACAATCCAATCTACAGTATATTTTTTCTACCTCCAACTAACGAAAATCTACTTTTTTTTTAAATTATTTTAGGTTATTAAGACAAAAAACAAATTTTAAAATAATTTGTATTTTACTAATTCATTAAATATACATAAAAAAGATTTAAGTAATTTAATTAGCTTCCAGTCCAGATTTGAACCCGGGCCTCTTGTATGGCAGCCAAACGCTCTGGTGTCACCTTACCATTTTAGTTTTAACATTCATAATTAAATTAGTTTCATATAGTTTGATTAAAATTTATAATTTATTTGTATATATAGACGAAATAAAAATAGAAATGCTATTATTGATCGATTCTACACAAGACATTTTTTTTGCACTGTTCTTACTAGGTAGAATGGATATGAAATATATTCGTTTAGTTGAACGGGATAACATTTTTTTTTCGTTTTATAGTTTGAGTGTAGAAAAAAAATGTATTTTCTGTTTAGTTTAAAAACTTTTTGGTCTCTTGCACGTTTTTTTGCATCTGCGACCGTTATCAAGAGAAAAAGGCAATAAAATGTTTAAAA